AATAATATTCATCGTAAGGACACATTATTCATTCGTACGGACGTCGCTATTCATCCGTATGAATAACACTATTCATCGTCCGGTTTTCGCAGTAAATGCAATATCTAAAATATGTTTTCTTTCTCTTCATCCGTATGAATATACACATTTACAACATATACATAAAAAAGGAATTGCAATTAGAAAGTGAACCCAGAGTCGAAGGTCTAATTGTGAAAAGGACTTTTCACTTTCACATTTATCAAAAACAAGTGAAAAGGACTGGAAAACTACCAAGCAACACACAAAGATCTTGTCAAAATAGTGCAGTTGTCAGGGACTGGTGTTAGTTTTTAAAGACATCACAATAGTTTTTATCATTTTAAGTATTCAGCTTTTATCGGTTACTATTTGTACATAGGTTGTTTATAGTCACTAACTTACAAATCGTATTAGCTAGTTCTGTTTAAAGATATTTGTGAAAGAAAACAAAACTATCAATGCTTTCACAAAGAAACATGAGAAGTTCCTACGCATTAAAAATTTATTTATTGTGAGATTTGTGCTAGAAGTAATGTCATAGAATATTATCCTCCACTAAATGAAATAATAAACTTCTTGAAGACGCAACAAAGGTCATGGAAATATTAAAGCAAAAACAACTTAAATTATGGACAATATACAGAACCAGTCCCTCCTCAACAAGAATATACATCAAGATAAGAGGAAACACTGAATCAGTTTGTGCAAGTGAGTATGGAATGTCAGATACGCATAAATGCTTCAATACAAAACCTCATGACACAAATTGGTCATTTAATTAATACCAACACTCAAACTAACTCAAATGAACACAACAAAGTGAAAAGGGCGGGAAAAAAACACCTAAGAACAAGGGACAAAAAATTGGAAAATCCACTTATTTAATATTTGCCTTGTCCACACAAACTTCAACAAGAACAAAAAGTAGTGTGTCATGGTCGAAATAAGTACATATGAAGAAGGTATTATTTTCTTAGGGATCAAGTAAACAAAGGAAGCTTGAACTTGAGTATTGCAAGACAGAGTGACAATTGGCTGACATGCTCACCAAATCCCTGAAGAAAGTCAGGTTCGATGATTTGAAGTGAAGCATTGGGATGAGAAGTCTTGAAAACATGAATTAGATGGTGTGTTAGAAGTTATAATTCATTTCTTTGTAGAAAATTGTATTCGATTGAGGTGTGTTTAACCTAACCAAAGTAGGAAGTCTAGTAGGAGTTACATGTAGAGTTAGTTGTATTCAACATAGACGAATACAACCTTTAGTTGTTGAGTCGAAGTCGAAATGTAATTTGTATGTTTTGAGTTTGAGTATTGGTTGCCTATATATAGGCAAGTTATGTTATAAATAAATGAATTTCACTTAATAAAGAAAAGGCAAAAATATTGTTTTAGTCCTTTAAGTTATTTTAAAATATCAAGTTAGTCCTTTAAGTTTTTTTATAACGCCTTGGTCCTTTATGTTAAGTTATGTTAGCATCATTGACTTTTTTAAAAATCTCTGTTACAATAAAATTGCAAATTCATATATCATTCGAACTGGTTTTTCGCGCTGATCACGAATATGTAACTAATAGTAGATGGTTTTAACAGTAGATGGTTATTATCTCCCTTCTCTCTTTTTTAGACATTATTTTTGCCTATAAATAGTATTGGTTGCCTAGACATTATTTTTGCCTATAAAAAAATTAAAGTTTTATCTCCTTTCTCTCTTTTCTCCTTCTTCATTCTTCTTGAAATTCTAATTGTTTCATCGGTTTTAATAGTAGATGGTTATTATCTACTTGTTTGTTTAATGACGAAACAAGTAAAGGAGGGAGAAGTGATGCAGGAAACCAATACAAGGAAGCCTAGTGTCAAATAGTTGCAATTCTAAGAGGTATTACATCGATTTGCCGGTGCATTTGAAGACTCCAAGGGATTTCTCCATAATCAAGATGTTGAAACAAGGTTCTAAACTACATAACATACAACCCTATCGGTATCTTTACGTGCAAGAAAAAAATAGAGAGAATGTTTGATGGCTGACAGTTTAATATATTGTTGATATTTATAATATAAGAAAGGAAGTTGTTCTAGAAAAGACACTTCGGCCATTTTCTATTATTCTGCCATGTCATCGCTTTGGGGGCATTTTAAGTTAAAATATTACTTTTTCTAATTAAATTATCATATTTGCACCATTTGGTTACTACTTATTATATTTGCTTCCACTTTTTGGTATAATCTAACCTATTAAGCATCGATTGATTCAACACAAACAATGCTTTTCAACTTTTTTGTCTTCTACCAAAGTATCATCATATCACAAATCACAATTAATCAATTATACTTGACTGCATTTCTTTCTCTCATTTCTCTCTCTCTCTTTCTTGCATATTAGGGTTTTCAAAACCCTCTCTCTCCATTTCTTAGATTTGTATTTCTTCTTCTCCAAATAATTTCTTCATTTCTTTCCTTCTTCTATCTGTTGTTGGATCTAAAAAAACACTCAACCACAAATATTATTCTGGTTTCCTCTTTCCTCTTTTCTCCTGCTCCATTTGTTTCCTCTTTTTTCCATATGGGCTAAACGCATTTCAAATTTTTTGAATTGTTGTTGTTGTTTTTCTATAGAAATGGATTTCAGCAATTGGTGAAGATTAAAGATTTGAGTATTCAGAGCAATTCTATTTTTTGGGTTTTCATTATTTTTGTGATTGTAGCAATTCTATGTTTTGGGTTTTCGGTAGTTGTAATTTTTTCATGATAATGGATCTGTTATTTTTTGCAGTTGAAGAAGTTAATAGAAGAAGAAAATTTATTGAGGCTTCGAAAAGTGAAGTAGACTTGGTATAAGATTTTTTTTCTTCTGGTTTTATTAAAGTTTCTTATTGTTGAATTTTTCATATGAAAAACCTATTTCAAAATCCATCAGCTAAGTTGTACACTGCTTTGTGGATCTTACGGACAACTCTCTATAGAGAAGCTGGAGAGGGTGCTTATGCTTACCACATATTTGGGTAAATTATTATTTTTATTCTCTTTAACATGAATCAGTTTAACTTATAACCCCTTTGTATTAGAGCATTTGATAAGTTGTTGTTTCTATTTAGCAATGCTTCGTTGCAGCAGATAAGTTGTTGTTTATGTTTGACTTTTCTTCATATGATTTAAATATTTTCGTTTTTCGTTTCGATTTTTTTGAATCGTTGTTGTTGTTGTTTTTCTGTAGATATGGATTTTAGAAACTAGAGAAGATTAAGGATTCAAGTAGGTAGAACAGACAATTGGAAAAGCTCACCGATATAGATATGTGGCTGCGACAACGCGTTTCTAGCGGTGAGTGTGGTGGTGATCGAAACCGAAATGATTGTTCTGTTTTACCGACATTGTATTTGGCTGTGAATTTAATCTCAGTGTAGATATTTTGTGTATGCCCTTTATGATCCATTGAATGTTTGTCGTTTATAGCTAACTGCCTTTAAATTTTCATTGATTTGATCAATTTTTGCTAATTAATTTTTCATCTGCATAATCATTAGGTATTTGACAACTGGAGCACATCTTTTCTCTTCTCTCATAGTGTGAACTTTCATCAATTTTACTTTATTTATATCTTATGTTTGCAATTTGATTCCTATTTTTTATTGTGGTCAATCAAGCTTTCCCTTCATTTTCTTTACAGGCTCTTGTGGATAATCACACTTCCATGATAGACTTCATCATCTTAAAACATATGACTGCTTTTGTTGTTATTATGCAGAAGCATCCTGAATGGGTTGGTAAGCATATAGAGCATGATTTGAATAAGCATATTACATTTAAGGCATTATGCATGACTTATAATTTTAATGATTCAAATCAATGTTTTATTATTGTTTTATATTTTACAATTATTAAATTGAACCTATAAATAGCTTTGTGCGGCTTTGAACATCAACAAAAAAAGCGTTAATCGGGACTTGGATGTGTATCGTATGCTACTTTCCTTCTAATTATATAATTATTCTTCCATATTTTACTTGTGTTTTATATTGTGATGTATTTCTCTGTATATATTTATATATATTTAAGAGGAGAGGTTGTTTGCATAACCTTTATTTAGTCACTTAATTATATTATTTTTGACCATTTACAAACCTGAGACCAGGCCAATAACTTCTGAATTGTGAAGTTGTACTGAAAATAATATTTGATTGTAATTTTTCTATAGAGTCTACTTGATATATGCATTGAGAATGTAGGAGAATTGATACGGATAAATTTTGGTAAAGAGGTCATATATGAGGTAATAAAGACTACTTTGATATTTAAACTTCACAAACTCATTTTGTTACCAAGCATTGGCTTTTTCATAAAATCAATGCCACATGCAGCTTGCAACAGGGGGTTTTGAAGACATATTGCATCCAACTTTAGATGATAAGATTAATTCTTTCCATAAAGCAATAGAATCTCTTGCAGTAGTGTATAAGTCAGAAGATTCACAAGAGGAAGAGCATGTCTTTGAAAAAAAACTTTTAAGTTGGACCATCAGATTTCGATTTTGGATGTTTGTGGTGTCATTCTAGGTACTGTGATATTTTTCAGTTTGTTGGGTGTAATGTTTTCAAACTAGGATTGCTACTTTTGTGTCTGTTTTAAGGTATGTCTTATGTCTTGTGTAACGCCCCATATTGCTTTCCAGGATTACCGACTGATTCAATTCTTTTTTTCGAAACAAACACATACTCATACTCACCTAACATATAGCAGTGAATTAGAACCATTAAACACGATTTCTACGACGTCCGATTTTCACTCAAATCTCAAACCCTCAATTATCCAAAAATGTCAAAACTCACAAACTCAACCAAATTCAATCAAACGAATTCCAATAATCACGGCTAAACATTACTCGACTAAACTATGCAATTTATTTTGAATTCTAACCGTTCAAAACTCGATTCTATCGATTTAACTCATTTGCCCTAGAAATAGAAAATAGAGAAAACTACCAACAAATCCAACACAACTCATACATAATCATACACATTGATCAAATAATAATGTTTCTCACCCTTACCTTGATTGGATTGAAGCTTGAAGTTGATTCTTGATGATTTCTCCAAGTTTCCCTCTTCTCTTCTCTTTTCTTTCCTCTCCAATTTCCCTTATATATCCTTCTATTTTCTTTCCATCATAATTCTTCTCTAAAAAATACCTATCAATTCATTTCTCACAAAATATCTCATCTTATCATTAATTAGAGAATATCTAATAAATCCACATTATTCTACCAAGTAGAATAAATTAATTAAATCCATTAACTCATTTAAATAAATCCAATAATTTATTTAAATCAGATAAATCACATAAACCAATTAATTAGCATAATTAATCACTTATTGAAAAATTGGGCTGTTACAACCCTCCCCCACTTTAGGAATTTTCGTCCTCGAAAATGTTACCTGATTCAAATAACTCTAGATACGACTCTCGCATCCTAATCTCCCAACTACCTCCACCAAAGGAATCTCTATACCTCGAAGTTGCTTCTCGTTCATCAACCTGAACTGGCAATGTCTCAACAATCAAATCCTCTCTCACTCGTACACTATCCATCTGAATCAATGCACTTCCTCAACTTAGACACATGAACACATCATGCAATTCCCACAAGCGACAGCAGTAAAACAATCTAACATGCTATTTTCTCCATGCTTCCGCTGCGCCACTCTAATACAGATCAACAAAGCACAGTGGGTGCTTCCGAGACCTCAAGCTCGACCGACACCAGTTACTATTGTAACTCTCGAAACACGTCTTTTCTTGGGTCCTTTTAATCTTTCTAGTCGTCTCTTGCACAATATCAGGTCCGAGTACAACACTCTCGCCTGGTGTAACGCCCCGATTCTGAATTCCCATTAATTGTTGAGTCTTTTAATTTATTTATTTGATGTTTGTTTTAAATTGAGAAATTATATATTGCTATGTGGTGTTTGCTTATTTTATCTATTTTTACCGATTCAGAGAGTTTTCGGGGAATTAGAGTAAAAAGGGCATTTTAGACATTTAGCACCTTAGTGTGAGAATTGATTGGTAAGTGTTGGAAAGAATTTGAGAGGAAAGAAATAGAGATAGAAATAGAATAAGAGAGGAAAAGAAAGAAAGATAGTAACATAAGAAGAAAAACAAGAGAAAGAAAAGAGGAGAAGAGAAAGAGAAGAGAAAGTGGAGAGGAAAACCTAGAATCATCAAGGGATCATCACCAAAGCTTGCAATCGATCGGTAAGGGTGTGAAACTCCATCATCTCTTTAATGTGTATGATTGTATGTGTATGTGTGTGGATTTTGTAGAGTTTCTACTCTTTTTCCACTTAGGTTAGAAGTTGGTTTTGTGAGTAGAATGAGGTTTTAATCGGTTAGAACTCGGATTAGACGATGTAGTTTAGTCGGGTGATGGTTGGGTTGTGCCGCTGAGACTGGTTTGGATTTAATCGGTTGATTTTGTGGAGTTTGGGCTCTTGAGACAGCCATGGAAGTTCTGTCTTCGCAGGCTCGCCAGGCGAATGGCAGCAAAGCTTCGCCAGGCGAAGCCCAGCGAGCTGTAGCGAAGCAAGTCAGAAGCTAACACCCTGTATTCGCTGGCAAGTTCGCCAGGCGAGGTGAGTTGGCGAAGGTTCGCCAGGCGAGTGTGTAGCGAGCCTCAGCGAGTAATTCCAGAATTACTCCCAGTGGACTTCGCTGGGAAGTTCGCCAGGCGAAGGCCAGCGAGCATTCGCTGCGTGGCTTCGCCAGGCGAAGGTTGGCAAACCTGGCAGTGTTATTTTGTTTTGCTGTTTGTTCATAGCATGATGTTTGGTTGATTCAATCATGATTAATGCCTATATGAATGATTGATGTGTGAACTGTTTCGACATGTCGTGCTGTGGGTGGCCGAAAGGCGTGAATCCTAGATTGTAGAGTAAATGGTGAATCTTGAATATTTGATAATCTTGTGTATTTGCTCGAATTGAATAGAAACGCATTGATAGGCTGATATGTGTGTAAACCATGTGTGGAATGGTGCATAATGTGAATGCATGATAGATATATGCGATGTATGTGATAAATGCAATGAGTATGTTTGTGAGCATAGTATGCATTTTTGTGTTGAATGATCCCTCGGAGGATTTGCATTGTGAAGCATCTTAGTATGCATTTGTGTGTTGATTGATCCCTCAGAGGATTTGCAGAACCTCGTATGATACGATGGTTATATTAGATTCCTTGGAGAATCGGTTGCATTGTGTGATTCCTTGGAGAATCGGTTGCATTGTGTGATTCCTCGGAGAATCGGTCATAACATGTAATCCCGTGGAGGATTGGCTAGAGTATTTGATTCCGTGGAGAATCTGCTGAGTACTTGATCCCGTGGAGGATTGGCTAGAGTATTTGATTCCGTGGAGAATCTGCTGAGTACTTGATCCCGTGGAGGATCTGCTGAATATTCGATTCCGTGGAGAATCTGATGGATATTTGATTCCGTGGAGAATCTGCTGAGTACTTGATCCCGTGGAGGATCTGCTGAATACTCGATTCCTTAGAGAATCTGTTGAATGAGTCGGTACCGCATTTGCATCTGCATAGAGTCGTGTGTCGGTCTCTATGAGTTGCATGAGTCATCTGTGTATGATGCATTGGTTGAATGAATATAACTGTGTATGTTATATATGATTGTTTGGAGGAACATATTGTGAATGTTCATAAGCATGTGTAGAGGCATGATTATTTGTATATGTTTAACGTGGTGAGAACATAATTTGAGTATAACTTGTACAAATATGAGTATATGTATATATATATACAATTTTATGCATTAACTGTTATGATGTTGTTTCTCACCCTTCTGCTGTTTTATGATGCTCTATGAGGCATTGCAGAGTAGGAAGCTGGAGGTTCTTTTTGTGAAGTGATGTCTTCATTCTTTTGGTCAATGGCTCTGATATGTAACATCTGGGTAGTTAGGAAGCCTTTGGCTCTTTTGTAGCTATTTTGGTTTGATTCTTTTGTGATACATATGTGTATGTATCTGCTGTGGATATGTTGTAAAGCATGAATTAACTGATGGTTGTATATACGTTTATGAATGTGATTGATTCAATATTTGGATGTTTCCGCTTTTATTCTAAATATTGAGATGTGGGTTACCCATTTTTGCATATCTATTTTGAGCAGGTATCGTATGTGTTTAGTTTCATGATAATGTGATGCGCCTCTTTTATACCATGTTTTAATTAAACTCTGATGAAATAAATTTTCTAAGTGCCTAATTGATTTATTTGATTAATTTGGGGGTATAGAAAGGGGGTGTTACATTAAGTGGTATCAGAGCCAGTGTTGAGTCAGTCGTGTCTGTCTTGTTGTTGTGTTGGTTGAACGGTTGTTTAACCTTGTTGTTATTTTTGGGAATCCTCAGAATATGGCAGGTCGTAATGACAATGCTATGGCAGCGGCGTTAGAGGCTATGGCCAGAGCTGTGCAGGGTGCACCTAACGTGAATGCGAATGATGAGTTCAGGAAGAACCAACCACCGGTGTTCAAAGGGAGATTTGATCCGGATGGTGCTCAGATATGGTTAAAGGAAATTGAGAGGATATTTAGGGTGATGGATTGTGCTGAAGGGATCAAAGTGAGACTAGGGACTCACATGCTGAGAGAAGAGGCTGATGACTGGTGGGTCAGCGTGAGGCAAATTCTTGAGGTCGACGATGAGGAGATTACGTGGGATTTATTTCGTACTGAGTTTCTAAGGAAGTATTATCCCGAAAGTGTTAAAGGGAAGAGAGAAATGGAATTTCTGGAGTTGAAACAAGGTAATATGTCGGTGGTGGACTACACCGCTAAGTTTACTGAGTTAGTGAAGTTTCACCCTCACTATGATGCGGTTACGGCGGAATTTTCCAAATGTATCAAGTATGAGAATGGCTTGCGCCCTGAGATAAAGCAAGCGGTGGGTTATCAAAGGATACGAAGATTTTCGGATTTGACCGAGTGTTGTAGAATTTATGAAGAAGACAGTAGAGCTCGTTCTACTTATTATAAGGGTTTGAGCGAGAGGAGAGGGAAGCAGCAAGTACGAAGCGGACCTTATGTGACGCCTGCTGATAAGGGCAAACATAGGGGAAACTTTGATAGGAGACCCGGAGGAGGTTCTGGTGCGATCAAATGTTTTAAGTGTGGCGTGATGGGCCACAAGTCTTATGATTGTGGAAAGTTCAAGGCGAAGTGTTCCAACTGTGGACTCCTTGGACATGATGCAGCAGAGTGTAGAAAGAATGTTGTGAAGTGTTTTAATTGTGGCGAGGTGGGTCACATTAGCCCGAATTGCACCAAACCGAAGCAAGCTCAGGCGGGCGGAAAAGTTTTCGCATTAGCAGGTTCAGACGCTACTAATGCGGCGGATCGTTTGATTAAAGGTACATGCTTTATTAATGATATGCCTTTAGTTGCTATTATTGATACTGGAGCGACTCACTCGTTCATTTCTCTTGCGTGTGCTAAGCGGTTGGATTTGTGTATGGTTTCTTTGAGTAGTGGTATGGTTATT